GAAGCTTCATTGAAAAGTTCAGCTTCGCGTTCGACAAGCTAAAGCCAAGCGAGGGATGTACAAAGGTGCATCGTGGGCAAGTGATATTTTGAATGGATTAATTCAGCCCCTGAGAAATCAACTGAATCAACTCAGACAGACTCATCCGAGTCTTCTGAGTCCAAAAACCACTGATTGATGGATACTCTTCCAGCGATATAGTATTCTTTTTCAAGTTCAGTGTAAATTTGTTTGGAGAAGAGAGCTCTGCGATCTATACGACAATGTCTTGCTGTGTACGGCAATAAAGACTCACCACATATTGCAATGAATGGCTCAATGGTTTTCCGTCATTGCGAGTACAACTTTTTTGTACCCTACAAGCTAGGCAAGACAGACTTCTAAAGCGATGCGTTATATGACGTCCAGACTATGATTCAAAGTCCTGGGGCAAAAATATACTCAAATTATGTCTGCATCCAACAGTACCTGCTTCGATGATTGGCGAAAACTCTAGCATAAATAGGTGCGAGACTTTGGCTTCGTAGCCACAGTCAGACTGAACGCCTTCACAGAGTGAAAAGAAATTTGACTCGACGCGACCATTAGACGACATGAAGAAACGTGAGGAACAGCACGTAAATTATTGTATTGTGAGGAGCCAAGCCGTTGTGCGGTTTGTTCGAAATTCAATCGCACACGCCCAGGATCTACAAAAAGCTTAAGAAAATAAGAGTGGCACAAGAACAAGAAGATGTATAAGGTCAATCAACCATATTGTAATATTTAGCCAGACAAAGCTGCTATAGCATGCTTTATCAGCTTGTGCAGCATAAAACTTCCACCACGATTTCTTGAACCATTCAAGATGTTAGAATACAATGGCAGAGCTTATGTTCTACCAGTCCATACACGCATGACCTGCTGCCTACATTTTTTGTGAGTGGGGTTTAGTTGTATTATCCGAGTGAATCCTTCGATTTTACTCTATTTTTGGTTAACGATCAAGCCGATCATCAAGTTTCTCTACGTGATCGCGAAGAGCAGCCAACTCTTCACCCCGAAAATTAACTTAGGCGTATAAGCGTTTAAGGACATCAAAGAAGGGATTGATCCTTTACTGATACCAACGCTTGAAGGCAAGAACTGTACTCGCACCGAAAAGCCTCGAAAACAGAGCCTGCCTCTTTGAGAGAGAGCAACAGGTGTTCACGGGACGCCTCACAAAACTTCTCGTCCTAAAAGACTCGAAGGAGTTTATCATGACTGTCAAGATGTAGTGCACAACGGGGCTCTTAAGCAAGTACAGGGCAGACCATCTGTCAGAACGTCAATTTCAAGTTCCGCTGTGTTACAAGGTTAAAGTGTCTCGCGGTAATCTTCGAGCGTCTCACTACTTTGCTGCAACACCTCAATTTGCACACAATGAGCGCTCTTCCACTTATAGAGTCGCTCAATCGTTTTCACGTTCAATCCCATCGCCGCTCATACTTTCGTGGAGAGCGATTAGGAATTTCGTAGAACGAACCAACTGAATCATTCGCGCTTCCACATACTTTGGTGGCGCGGCTATTCAACAAACTCGGACACGTGAAAACCTTGGCGGACACTGGGGTCTGATGTCTTCGGCGTGGTTCTCAGCTATCGAGCTGGGTTTACTTGGTCGTGGACGAGAGTCCTGCCAACGTCGACTCTGCGACGCAGATACCCACCTTGTTCTTGTTATCGGAGCAAACAACATTTGCCAGAGTCCACCTTAGCTGCGAGGGGCTGGGTCACATATGCATATGAATACACCATACGGTTATCTCTTGGTTATGGATATCCAAAGTGCATCCACAAGGTACACACACCTACGTACCTTGTGCATGCACTTTGTACCTTCATGCAATGGCTAAGTATGACCCATAACTTCGTCCCCTTCGCAAAGCCAAATGTACTTTGATACTTGCGCAGATGTTCTGGAACAGTTCACTCTCCAATCAGCGATAAAGCGATCAACGTTGGCTAGTTAACAAGCCAACTTTGAAGAGCAGCTCCAGGACCTTGACTTTACTCCCATTCTCTACCATGATAGAGACAGGAAGTTCTACACGGAACGTTTCTCTAGTCGGCGTCGGATCAACAATCGTGATATTTCGACCTCTTCAATGAGGTCACCAATATTTTGTGTCGTTTTACTCGGGGTCTGAACTGGTGATGAGACGTACGTATCTGTCTTTTATATTAGATAGCGTACAGCAGTCACTTCTTTTGGGAACTTTCCACGAAACTTTGATTTCAAGCATTTCCAAGCTCAAGTTTCATACACCCTAGATATTGCATAAGGTCAAGCTGAGGTTAACTCCAGTACCCTTGATTAGATAAAACAATTTATAGATCCCGTGGTATTATAAGTAAAACCTTTAGTGTCTCGCATGTAGTATAGGAATCATTAATTCATTTCAATTTAGTTGCAAATTTCCCTTTAAGCTCTCAAATCGTTCTTTTTACCTCTACGTGGGCCATTCTTCTAGCTACACATCAAGAATCATTTTCTAGCCGTATAAGCGTGTGTTGCGGTTGAGGGCTCTTGTGAGCAGCATACTAGGAGTGTAAGTCCTTACAATATAGGAGTGTTCTGCTCACAACAGTGCCTGCTGCGAACGCGCTACATTTCTCCGCCTTCAGTCGTAGCAAAAAAATCAATTGATCAATACTAGCAACACCCAGAAAAGTGCGAAGACATGCTATGTTCTACGTGAGTTTATTGATGCCATATACACGATTCCGCTCGTACGTGCCAGTCTGATGTGACAGCTATATTCAATGTTGAAGCAGCGCCTTCATCTCTTCCTGTATATAGGCTGTCCTTTGTTCCAAAACAATGATGCGGGTCTGAAATAATGGGGGTTGTCTCGAGCCAGGCAGTGCGACGTTGAAGCTTAGGAAGAAAGTCAAAATCTAATTCATCTTAGCTCCAGACGCACGCCGAAACTCTGAAGATAGCCAACTTACCGCTACAGCCGACAGGAATCGTGGAAGCCAGCTGCAGGAGGATCGACCTCCGCCGGCACTGCTCAATGAACAATGAGGGACCGATTTCACGCGGAGCGTTTGGTGGGCTGACGGATGTATTAGGACCATTAACAGCATTTGGTGAAGTGGAGCGGATACTTAAACTGAAAAACTAGTTGGAGATCAGATTTCTAAGTCGGCATGATTGCTCTGGTGCCGCGGCCGCTTACGAACGTAGTATTCCTAGAAGTGTATTGTTCAAATACTTTACACTTTGGGACACGATATGGAGAAAATGAATTGTCACCCGCTGCTGCGCGCATTTCAATATGAGGCGGAGTTGACCTTGCGATTGGACAGACCCTTGGTCGGCAGAGGTTACACTTGTCTTATGGAGACAAGTGGGGCTGCAAACAGCAGGCAAAAGGGTGATGGGTTGTCACTTTTACGCAAGCTAGCCAGTAAAGGCTTAAAATGTGCTTTTCTCGCCCAAATAGAGACATCAAACTGTTTAGAGCCGTACTCACTGTGACCAGAAATGGCGTGAATTGAGCGCTATGCAGTAGCACAAGCTGAAATCCATTTACCATGTACACCTTGGTGGCGACGAGCTGGACATCGTCGTGATTTCCGCAGTGAGGTGTCGCAACATTTCCCGGCAATGAAAAGCTATTTAAAGTGCAGCGAGGATGCTGAGCATGGGGATTGTTGATCTGGACCCGGACAGTCACTTCTTACTTTTCGCCGAAAAGAACCTCTGCGTCTTCACCGAAGAATTTTGGCGCCAAGTCGCATAGATTCCGTCCTTTCTGACCGCTTGTTAAGCCATTTAGTGCACGGGTGGGGACTTCTAGTGCGAATATTTTGATATGCAGGCACGGTCAAGTGCAAATAATGGAGTTAAAGTCCAGGCAAAGTGATTACTCACAATTCTGCACATTGTTTAAAAGCGACAAATAAGTGTGCACACCGGTATAGTACGTATCTATCCGAAATTCCGGTGTGATTGTGAAGATCTATGACCACCAAGGTATCCGTATTTATGTACATCACAAAAATCAGGAAGGAAGGGGTTTGTGGCTGTGTGGGCATCCAACCGCTGGTCAGATAAATAGAGATTTCTATCTAGTATTTCTCCTGATAAGTAGTTCTCAATATACATTTTTAAAATCCAGAGCAACAGAGCAACCGCAAAACTAAGTAAGTAGGGGATCTCTGCTCCAGATCTGGAGAAAGTACGAACTTAATCTCTGTGCGTTTGTTAACTCGAACTATTCAATGCAAAACTTTCTTTGTGCAAAATTGCACGCAGCCCCGGTGCAGCGATTGAGATAAGGGCTTACTTCTTACTTCGCGTGGTTGGCTATCTTGAGGATAAGCAAATCGTGTCCCAACCTTACAGAAGCTACAGCCTGTCGAGACTCGATTGACGAGTGCTACCAAGTGCAAAGGGGTTGCTGTGCCTTTCGTACAGGAAGTATTGACTCAACGAGCCTTGTCAAGAAATGCACCGAAGGTGATATCGTTCTTTCCATTTTGTGAGTGAATCTCGATAAATCATCACATATCTGAGATAAGTCCAGCTTAGAATAAAACTGATATATTTGGTAATCTGTCTCTAATCCTAAATCCCATGTGCTGCATAGCGCAAGGATAGCGCCCAAGTCATCAACACCACTTTTTACTTTGCTCAAAAGGTAAGGAACAATAGTGTATTCTGTATATATCCCGTTACAAGGGGCATGATCTAGGGATACTATTTTCAGTATAGTAGGAAATTGAGCGATGCCTTTCAAAATGGATAAGCCTAGAACAGTTTTCAATAATTTTCTTACAGACATGTCTCATCGAAGGTTTTGCGAAACTATAGAACTACGCGAGCGCGTCACCCTCTATTCTGCAAAGCCAACACTATTATAGAGAAATTGGCTATAATTGTCCCTTCAACTTTCCAACTGGCTCATCGTTTGGCGATCCTGAATCCTTACGCCAGTTAAGAACGCGCAGCCAAGCCACAAAGCTTTATGACCCGCAAGTCAAATCGGCGGTCACAACGAAAAGAAGCCACTACGACTCACTCCGACCCGACTCATACCGCTGAACCTTCCTCGGACAGCAGCAGTTCCTCGTCCGAATTTGCACCGGAAGTCCGAAACCTTCCTATCCCTATTGTACTCAAGCCTGCTTCGCCCTCTAAGCCGACGCCAAAACAACCGAGTCCCTTACTGCTGAGCCCGACGAAAAAGAACGGCCCTGAGGCTACGATTCGACAGATCGCTGAGAGCAACGACACAATGAACGGAACTATTCACGTCAAGGTTTTAACTGCTCGCAATCTGCCCATGCTGGACTTTGGCAAGCGTCAAGATCCATTTGGTCAGCCGATAATTTATGATGTCAATGCCCCATGATGCTAATTAGTGAAATGTTTTATGTGTTCTATTTGCAAACGTTCAGTTATGGTGCAGTTAAATAACTCGGTTCCCAAGTCTTGGGCGACCACAGATCCATCCTTCCACGGCGGAGCTAATCCAGAGTGGACTGAAAGATCAAACAACGAGTTAGAGCTGTTTTATAATGCCAGCGTTATGCACGACAAGGGTACTACGTTAACCTTTGAAGTATATTCGGACGAGTCTGGCGACGAACTCATTGGCTCGGCGCAGCAGAGTATCAGCTCCATTGTTGAGAATCGATTAACCAAACCAACTGCATTCACGATTCATCTGAGCGATGAAAAGCATAGCAACGGCAACCGCGGCGAGCTGAATGTAGAAATATGGTTTGGCCCGCCCGTCCGTAAGGTCTTCCGCGCAGCGGGACGTGCCTTTAAACTGCTGGATGCGCGTGATGCCATGGTTGCCATGCTGTGCTCCATGACGACATCAGCTTGTGGTGCTGTGTCAGACCGGTTTCAATTGCCAATGGATTTCGCCAAATCGCACCGCAAGCTGAGTATGGCTCTAGCTGTTGTTTTTGGCTTCGTGGCCGCAGCAGCACTCACAATGTTCGTGGCATTTGCGGTGCCAGCTTTGATCGTGGCTTTCATTACATTTCCATTCTGGATCATCCCGGTCTTAGTCACGTCTTTCTTCACTGCACCATTGTGGTTGCCTATTCTTCTTTTGATTGGGTTATTCCTGCTTTTTATTTCCTCGTTCGTGTTCGGCCTCGGAATCACTTCAGGACCTGTTCGTCGCAAAAGTGCATTCATCTTGAACAAGATCAAACACTCAGAGATTGGAAAACGCGTGATTTACGAGAAGTCAGCATAAAGTACCGTCGTGCTGCGCTCAAGCTACTTGTCTGTCTGTGATGCTGGGCTTAAGGATTTCTAGCTTTTTTTTAACTGAACCATTTGTTGCACATTTGCTAAATTCTCACACCAATAAGCTGTTTGGAACATAATTATTGATATCTCGACAAGAAAAAACCAGCAATCTATAAAAATCTTTTTGCAAACATAATTTTTATTATTTATTCAAATTAAAGTTTCATGTTGTATGACGATCTGTAGCACAGTGAAGATAACCAGAGGAGAAACAAGCCAACTGTGCATGAATAGCAATGTCTGGATGACGATTCTTCTTTGTCATGCTGAGTTAACGCTGCATTTTCTCAAGCTCCGTCAATGCTTGCTCCAATTGCATGTCACGTAAGCTCAATTGCTTCTCTAGGTGCATCACTTGCTTCTCCTTACCTTCTAAAAACTCAATAAGATCGCGCACTTTGCCTTGCTTTTCCTTCAGAGCCATCACTAAACGGTCATTTTCCGTTTGAATGCGAGACAAATTCACATTCGCGTCAGTTAGACGCGACGACATTGGCTTTAATTTTGTTTTAAGCAACAACGTTTCGCGCGACTTCTTTGCCACTCGAGCCTCCAATCCAGCCACCTCACGCTCCATTGATGACAGAGCGGCCTCAAGTTCATGAATGGTCTCTTGCTTTTCCGCGACACTTTTGAACAAATTCATGTCCATGTCAAGGTGAAGATTGGCATTCGTCTCACATGGTGAAATACTTTCCAGTTGTTGCGCTACCTTCTTGGCAACTTCTTCAATAAGTTTTTGTTTTGTCGACAGCTGAAAGTTAAGTCGGCAGATCTCGCGATCCTTCTCCATCATTGCGTTTTTCAGTCTAGCGACAACCGTACTGGGTTCGCAGTCACTTCTCACTGGTTTGGTTATATGGATCACCCTTTGACCAAACTGGGACGGTATCAGCTTTGTCTTCCCTTTTAATTCACTCTGACACGTTGGTTCAACCTCAAGTGGAATCCCTTTCTGTGCACTGGCTGTCTCTTCGCTTAGAGCAAAATTCACATTTTCATTTCCATCTGAAGCTGCAGACCCAATAATTCGGGCATTTTCTACCTCGACTGTCGTGTTTTCATGAACTGAATCGTTTGCTTGAATGCGGAGCTTATCGATCACGTGCTCTATAGAGGCCTGCGCCGATGCGTCACTATTATATTTTTTTTTCAAGTGATATTCCACTAGCTTAGCCACACGGGCCTGATTTCCAGGATCAATCAACCACTTAAAGCTCTCATTATGTTCCATGATACCGTATAACACTTCCATGACAGCCTCTGTCAAATTGATTACTCCAAAATTATTGTCCGTCTGCTGCAATTCACCCCTCTGAGTTGACGATTCAGTTGTGTGCTCTCCCTCTTCTGCTGAATAATATTCTTCAGCACCGCTTTCTGAGTGCAACTCTGTGACATCAAGACTCGATTGATTAACCCTGGCACGAACCACACATTTTGAGACAGTAGAATGCGGCGCGACATCGTTTGCAATACTCCGGAAAGGTACAGACTTGTCGCTACTTTCATCGTCTGATGGCGCCCAATCCATGGACTCATACGACATGGTTTGGTCTAATGCTAAGCGATTGCATCGACGCATAGCCTCGGAAGAGACCGAGGATTCATCGAACAAATCGTCGCAAAACGAGGTCATGGTTGATGTTGAGGAGGCCGAAAAATCTACCGTGTCTGGCGAGGACGCACGAGTCATCGGCTTGTAAGGTGAGGCAGCTCGTCTATCACGCGAAATCTCAAGTGGAGGAGACTTCAAACGAAGCACGTTATTGTCCTGGTATGACTTAGGTGTGTTCTTCATTGTCTTGTCATTCGCTTCAACTGCCATTGCCACCGTCGTGGAATTCGTCGTGGGATTGTGACATTTATCTGTAATCTTGCTGCCATGCACAAATGAGGTCATTGATCCTTTTGCAAGATTTTCTTGGCGCTGGATGGACGGAAACAAGCGAGATACGTTGAGATCTTTGCTGTTATTTTCAGCACTGACCAAGAGTTTCCGACGCTTAACGATGCCATCGACAGATTTCTTTCCTTCAGTCATACCCTGTTGATTCAGCTTCTTCTTATTAGTTCCAGACAACAAAGACATGTCAGACTTCTTATAAGAACTCATCGCCTCTTTTCTCTGCTTTCGAAGTCGCACAATTTCACAGCCATGCATTTCCAAAGCGTCTACGAGCTCAGTGTCTTTAAGAACGTTGTTGTCTAGCTTGCAAGCGTTGCTTAACCGGACCACGAGTCGTAACAGCTCATCTCGCTTGACATCCATTTCCGTTGTGAGACAAAGAAAGCTGCAGTCACACACACCGGCTCTGCGGCGTGTGTGCAGTAGACACAAAGCTCTGGCAGCTATTTACTTGATTATCTGCAGGCACTGAGAAGCCAGCTTGTGATTACGTACAAAAACGCACCCAAGCAGGCGACTGCACTTACCAATTGATATTTCTTACTCCCTCCTCTCCTACTTCGAACTTGCACTCTTCAAAAGCAGCCGAGACCGCCCTTATCGGCTCGGACGGGAGAAAGGAAATCTGAATCCTCCCACCATCAAAGTCCTCCCATCATTGGCACTGAATCGCTGCGAAACCTTATTCTAGGAAGAACTGCCTCTATTTGAGGTTATTCATCTCTAAACTAGCTCCATCTCAGTATTGTGGTTGCGACACAAACACTGCCTGTCTGTGATTCATTTACAGTAGAGTAAGAAATAAGTGTTGGATTTAGATATTTGTGAACTTGTAGACTCTATTATTACTAAGTACACTTAAACATTAATAAAACTTGTTTTCAACGCTTTGCTTGCAATCCGACCGTACATTGCACACTGAATACCCATTTGGAGGCGTATTGATTATCTTTACGATGCCACGCATCGATGTGTCCCAGCTTTAATTGGACACAACGTAATGCTCGAAGGTACGCACCAGTTCTGAAAAAGAAGGGCGAAGAGTTGGCTCTCGCATCCAGCAAGACCTAATCAATTTAGCGAAGAAGCGAGGGCACGAGCGCGGAATAGGTGGACGCAGATCGTGATTAAGTACGCCTAACGCCACTTGAATTTGTGTCATGCCATCATACGGGCACTGGCCCGTGAATATTTCCCATATTACGACACCAAACGAAAAGACGTCGGCTTTTTCCGTATATTTGCGATTTCCTAGCACCTCCGGCCTAAAAACATAACAATGTTAGACAAATTATATAAGAGCACCTTGCATAATCTATAACACATGCTTGACGTACGCCATCCACTGCACCGTACCACAGTTTCCTGTCATGGTCTGAATCTGCGCCTTGACTCGTGATAGACCGAAGTCGGAGATCTTGATCGAGTAATCTCGCTCGACAAGCAAATTTGGGCTCTTCATGTCTCGGTGCAAAATTGGCAACTCAAATTTATGCAGATAGCTCATACCGCGAGCAGTGTCCAGCACAAACCGTGCACGCATCTTATCTGTGAGTTGTCGACGCCGTGTGCGTAGGATAGCCCAAAGCGAGCCCTGTTCGACAAGTTCGATGACCAACGCTCGATTCTTGGGGGTTAGACATGCCCCGAGCAACATACAGACATTCGGATGGTGTAAGAAGCTCATAATTTTAACTTCCGTCTCAAATTCTCGCACCACATCAGCACTTAGATTCTGTCGAATTAGCACTTTAACTGCCACGTCTCGACCATTCCAAGAGGCCTTGAATACCTTGCCAAAAGCTCCTTCACCAATAACGCGGCCAACAATAACGTCAGCCATATCTACGTTCTGGTGTGGCTTGAGAAATTGATTCTCATTGTTCTCACAGCAATCAGTGGCTGCTGACTCCGCCTCTGGCTCCATATTGACGTTCGTCTGTCGACGACGATTCGAATTCGTGTTATGGGCAAACCAGTCCGATAGGTAGAGCGGAATACCTGCTTTACGAGCGCCCTCCAGTCTCAAGGAGTCATTGCTACCTTCCTCTGCTGCGCAAGACATAGACGCATTACTACCAACGTCGATGGGGTTACATCCTAGGCCTTGATGTCTGCGAGAGATGGCGTAATAGCCGCCACCTTCTCGGCCAAGCTGATTTGCTAGCGTAATCATGGCAGCATTAGCCTCAGCTTGACGCTGCTTCTGCTTGTAATTATTCTCACTGGGACGGCGATGCACCAACAGTGTGTCGATGTCTGCCACCAGCTCTACAGGTCTTGAAAGGGTGGGCGAATGAGCGCGACCATGATTGAAGTCGAGCTTCATCTTGTGCGTTCGAATGGGGGACCCACACAACTGGAAGAACTTGCGGTGGTCACCCAGATTGCTACGCCGTCTTGACGCAGATGCCATGGCGCAATTCAAAAAATGGATACCCAGCTCGCAAGGGGGTCTGGGAGTTACAGAGCGGAAAGCAAAATGAGGTATCTGGATTTGAAGCCGCTTCCAGACCTGGACAGTGTTCCATGGTCGCTGCTATTGACAGCCGTTGTAACGATCTGATTAATAAAGGCTGACATACTTGGCATTTGTAAGACCTTTTACTGAAGAGCCGCTGAGAAATTTGACATTACTAGGTTGCACCATCTGTACAAGTGCCTCACATACACTATGTTCAATCACCAATTGATGTGCACATAGCTTTGAAATAACAAGGGCAAACAGAGTTTGGAATAATTCATCAGCTAAGCAGTAAGGACTCTATTCCGCTTCGCTACACGTTCATCAGCTGTTGCGGCTATTTAGCCCCATTAAATAATCGTTGCACTTTGAATACTGTTCTTATGATACTGTTAGACAAAGCAGCATGCCCCAGAATCCAGCACAAGGTAGGTGCTTGGAAATCTCCTGAACCTGGCATCAGTTGCATTGACTTTGTAATTCCATTTCTAGCAAGTACTTCAACTCGCTAATTTTGTTCAAGTATGCAGCTGCTATCCTTTCGTTTTTTATTTCTGAGTGAGAGAGAGGACAGATAAGAATGGTGGTAGTGCAGTTCTAAATCCAAATTATCCATGAGCTGTTCACTTTGTATGCAGTTGTATATGCTCGTTTCGTTGTCGAGCTGATTCAAGTACAGCGAGATAAGATGCAAGTGGCAATCGATGTGCTCTTCACAATTGAAATCAGCTCAGATTTTTGCGAGAGTAATACTGTATAACCTACATGAGATAAATGCCTCAGATTTATGTCAAAAGTAATTTAAACCTTGTCACGTAAATTGCATCGCCTGTAAAATTTGCAATCAACATTAATTCCTGAAATGCTGTCTTAAAAACAAAACCTCTAGTGCACAGACGCTTATTGTATACATTTTTTTAATATATGCAGAACTTGTAGGAGCATGCTGCTTCAAACGATTGTTTCGCAAGATGAATAGAAACATGAAATTTTGTTTCTCATACATAACATGTGTCTCATCTTTTGTGCACGATGAAAAAGTTTTTACTTAAGCCTTTCTATACTGTATATATCAGCTGTATGGAGATTAAGAGCTGATATCCGCCTTATGCTTCCTTATATTGGACGAACCAAGAATCGTGGGTGATACATACATCACTTTGAAAAATAGGTAGGATCCTCCCTTGCTGTATTGCTTCGGTTGCGTTCGGCACGTTGCCGATTCAATTAATGACTGACATCGATATACTGTAGGTAAAAGCTACAAATTTTATTTGCATGAGTATAAAACACCATAGAGCTCTTGTGCATCACATCCTGAGTGAAATACTAGTAACACGGATTTTTTGTAACTTTTGAATCACGAATGTTTACATAGGAGGGACCAGATGTCGACTGTAGTACTTAGGAACATTTACAACCTCCATCTCGATTTACTGCTATGCTTGTTCGATATCAAGAGATACACTTTAATTATCAAGAAATCGCTACAGCTGCAACTGCTGATTCTGTATTTTCGCTTCTATTTTCTCCACATGTTGCTCGTTTCTAGACTCAGCTTAGAGAAGGCGACGGCAGCCCCAACCAACCCGCATCTCTAAGAGCTTACATTCATCCATCCTCTCAACATGCGATAATGGCTGAAAGCCCAGCGATTGAAACAAGTTCACTGCGGCACCAGAGTCGTTCTGCGGGACGTATGCGACAAGCGCTTGTGGATGCGTGGGTGCTTGTGCGTAAAATACCTCAATATCCTGCAACGCAACAAAACAGCGGCGACTATCAGCAAACCATCTTGCAGCTTTATGGGTGTGCTCACCTCAACGACTATGCGGAGCAGCCTTTTTGCGTACCCTTGCCGCCGCCTTGCCTTCACAATACCGACGTGCTCAATAACGGCAACTTGGTTTCCACTCTCCTCACACACTGGCCGCCAGCATGCGATACCCATGGGTCCATCACCAACTACACCCACATTCAAAGTAATATAATATAGCCTTGTGAGCCGAATTCTGACATCTAGGTGAGAGATTCCAATGCTTCCCACCAAACGACACTAAATGCCGCGACATTGGATCATTCAGTTGCACCTTTGAAAGATTGCTGAAGATTTTTTCTCTCAAAATCTTGACAAATGCCCATAAGGCCATATTGGCGCGCTCTAGAGCTTGAACTGTGCCTTCAACAGTTTTATCCTGACCCCGACCGTCAAATCGTTGCACTGTGAATTGGTATGCAATAAAATTTATCTGCTTCAATTATCACCAACAAAGGCAAGGTTAGACGCTGTATGTTCGGAATTCCGCGTATTATTTTCACCTTGAAGCACTTGTACAAGCGGCTTTTGCCGGTGTGACCGCAAATTGGGCACTTTGCACCCTGTATCAAGTGAGCACATAATTCAATCTCTCTAGTCGGGCCTTAATCCCTACAAATTAATAAGTGCTACTTTCACTATCGTTGACGTACTTGCTCATGAAGGTGTCTGCATACGTTGCAGCATATCGCCATTCCGTCTCTAAATTCTTAATTTGGCTTACTTAAATGTACGTACCAAAATATCGGTACGATTGGCTTTTACTCAGTCCATGTCGCTGCCAAACGCGACCGAGGTGCGTCGAATATCAACACAACTAGCCAAGCTCGAGCAGCAGCGCGCTCAGGGAAATCTTCCTCATGAAGAAACACCGCTCCGATTGTACAGTGTACGCACCGGCGGTTTTGTGCGCGTGCTGGACAAGCACCCAGAGCCAATCTCACAGGGCATGGTACGCTGCATTTATATGGGGCTTAAATTTGGATTTAGGTGCTCATTGCGCACGTAATTTTGGACTAGCTGGAAGCTATTGACGCATTTATCTCAGAGAGTCATAATTCTGCAGATATCGAGGAGATAAAAACAACTTTAGAGAACAAGGAGCAGGAAAATGACGATGTGCGACTAAATGATCGTGGTGAGGCTGATGGTGCAGAAGGAAGCATGTCAGAACACGGACAGATAGTTGAAAGTTGTGATTCCACTAAAGAGTTCACTAAAATGAAACTTTGCTCTGCAAAAACAGACGATAACGTTACAAATACGGAGTCTGCCACTTGCGTCAGTGTAAAAATGTTGCCTCCATGGGAGAATGGAGATAGTTTCGCGACACCAATAGAACTAATAGGCAGAAATGAGCTCGTGAGCGAGTATCTGGGAAAGCAGTTCAAGGTGAAAAATCTCATGACGGTAGAACAGGTTGACGGCACGGAGCTCAATAATCACAAAACGGAAGAGGTGAAAACTGAATCCTGGAAGCCTGTTGATCATCGGACACTCTTTGAGCACTGGCCACCACAGCTTGAAGAGCGACGTAAATTGTGGTTTGTATCCCGAAACTATGACAGGAAAGAAGGTGTTGTAGGATCAAAGCACCGGCCTGTTTTGTACTGGATGCATAACACGCTGCGCGTAATGCAGGGAAACTATGGATTGGAAGCAGCAATTTTGCTTTCGCGACGACTTCAAGCACCCTTAGTGGTTTTCTCTCTAATACCATCGTCCATTATATACCCAATTTGCCACTCGACTACTGCAAGCGATGCGTATGCAAGGTTTTCCCTTGTGGAGCTGTATCAGCAATTTTTACACGCCGGTGTGCCATTCTATGGGCTCACATTTCGTCATTCAGAAGAATTCGGAGCTCTAAACAGCAAACAGACCCTATCACTAAATCTAAATCCGCTTTACGAAGTGCTTGATGCATTTAAGCCAATCGTAGTAGTAGCAGATGCCATGTTTGACGCACCGAGCAGAAACGACTTTGTGCGCCTGACTCAATTTTTAGATCTACATCGATCATCTTGTTTGTGGTCACTCGTTTCGATGGATTCTTTGACGTGCTGCCCTATCTATCAGCTATCTGCAAACCTCAAATGCTCCTTCAAAAGTAATGCCGCATATGCCAGTGAAGAACAATTTGTAGCTGAGTATGCAACATATTCTCGAGCACAGCAAGAAGCCTATGCATTTAGTGTTTTGCCTCGTGATTGTGTTCCGGATCGAGCTTCGAATCAAGGACCGACAGAAGTTTTGGCTTCCGTAATGCAGCGGCTTCACCTGGAAGAAGTAAATTGGCATCTTGTAAAGGCAGGGAATTTTCAATCCAGCTGTTCGACGCGGCGTTTTAGTGAAGGGGAGGGACTTCAAAAGCTTAGCCAGCTGTTGTCGAGCTCGGATAATCAACCTGCTATTCAGGCTGAGTTGCGTGGTGGTGGAGTCCTAAGCTTGTTACCATTTATTCGTCACGGAACGCTGTTTGCTGGCTATGTGTTGCGACGGATATCCGAAGCCATCGTTTCTCGCCCAACACCCAAATCCTCACAAGAACGAAGAGCTCTTGCTATGTTGAAAGTTCGTGTTGTCATTCTGTTTGAGCTACAAATTTTAATCTCCTGTTGTTTGGTCCATGATAGGTCATGAGATCTCGGGCTGCAATTCATTTAGGCAAGGAGCGCGACTATGCTCTGTATTTAGCTTTGTGGTCTGCTGTTCGTATCGAAGTGGATACATTCAATGGCGTCAACCAGTTGAATCTAGCATCGCTTTCGACAAGTGAAATTATTGCAAGCTTAGACGTATCGGAGTCTCGCGCGTCGTCTTTGTACGTTTATCGTGGCGAGTGCTGTATCATCACTACTTACGCAAAACTATACGCTTAGACAAAATTATCAAAAGCTTTTGCCTTCTTGGGCTTTTAGCGCTGCTAATCTTGTTGGGCTCTCGAATGGTCAGCAGCCAGGTGCTGCTCTCTATGACCTTCAAAAGTTGGAGAGCGCGCAAACACAAGATCGGTACTGGAATGAGATTCAAAAGTTTGTTGTGGAACAGCAATATCTCCATCCGTTACTGGTTGTCTATTGGGCTTATCGGCTTATGACGTGGAACGTGTCTGTTCGAGCAGCTATCGCGGTGCGCAGTGTATTCTAATCTTTCGTAGATCTTAGTCCTCTAATAAAGTTGTTATGGTTTTCTAGACAATCGACTCTCTCCTCTCCCAGTGCACGCTCGGTTCAAATATTTCTCCCGATGCCGTGTTTATGGTTTGGAAGCTGTTATTTCGTCTAGGATCATCCAACACTATAAACGGGACAAAATCTTTCAATCTGGCTGATCCCCAACAATTTCAGCGTGTTTTAGAAAGCGAGATTGCATCGCAACCAAAACTTCAGTTGTATTCATGAACGAGGCGTCAACAATGTGGCTGATTGTTAAATTATTTCGATATGCCCAAAACTATTTTGCTAGTCGACTGCTCAGTGTTCTACTCTAATGCCCAGCACACGACCATTTCACATTGCATTGGTCCACTCGTGTCTGCAAATCGATTGAAAGCCACTTACACTGGCATGCGTATGCAGCAGTATCTTAAAAGGCGTAATCAGCAGATTGTTATTAACTCAGTCATTTTTCGAAAACTACCTGGAGCAATTTCCAATTTTACACGTAGTTTGGCCTCGTTTGGCATATTCTCACGAAAAAACATGTAATCAGCAGTGGCATCCCATTTCCTATTCCAACAACAAAGTTCATATCGGGTTCGATTTGCAACGTAAATTTGTTCATTTGTGACTGACTTGCCGAAAAACTGCAGAACAGCAAAGTCGCATTCGTTGCAGCGAAGATTCGAACAGACACTAACAATAAAATTCAATATGATGTTGGCCTCTTTTGTTCTTTTCACTTTGGCTAATGCAGACATACCGTGATGAAAAAGCAGTATTTAGACCACGATTTGCACGCCCTCCATCCATCAGAATTTTTAAGCACCTGCTTAACTACAAATTACGACATGAACTTGAAAATGTACAAAGTACTCACTTTTTAAGTGCACCAGCTTGAGAATCGATTTGTTTAAATGAGCAATGTAATTTTGTTTTTGCTAATTCAGAATTGAAATCACCCAGTTTTCGTTCCTCATCATTTAGCAGGTTTAATAAATCGTCCAGCTCATTTTGAATCTGCTATTGCATTGGTGCGTGAGAAACTCGTACTGACGTATCAAAGTACATAAAGCAAGAAAACGCACCCTGCCCTTGTTCACAGCTTGTATAATCTTAGAGGAGTCTGTTTGACCACTAAAGCACGAATTTCCTGCTCTTATACTTTCTCTACTTCTACGCGGGCTATCCATTGCATCTTCGATCTCATCTAACAAATCCTGGAAGTTCATAATTTCTTTCGCTCAATTCTCAATATGGCTCCGTTTCATCAATCAGATGTCTTTAACTTCTAATTATAGCGTAAATATTATCAAAATTACATTAACAATCCTAGTCATTTCATACCAAAACTAAACTTGTCGATTCAGTCTGGGCGTGCTTTTCTGACGTGTCATCAAACTCACCCATGGCAAATCCTTCGAGAAGCTTTTTCCAACCAAGAGTAGCGATTGAAAATAACGCGAATAGCGGTCTAATCGGACATTTGTCTATCACTTTATCTTATTTATAAATAGAATTAAAAAGGCGCGCACCTTGTAATGAGGTCGAACCATCCACCTTGCGGAACAGCACCATTTACGTAGCGAATGTATAGAAATGCATCATGCCGCACTCCATCAATCATATAGTAATCTGCATCGACAGCCCCAGTTAATATAACGAGCGCTACATTCCTTGTGCAGTTCTTTACCTTGCAAATAGCGCAAATTTTGAAACCCATTCTTCTCATAAAATTGCCTGGCACTCAAATTATCTGCTTTGACATGAAGGTAAACTGCTCCGCACTGTGGTTGACGACAGGCTTGAGTGATGCATTCCTGCAAAAGCGCCGAAGCGATGCCCATTCTTCTGACCGATGCCTGAGTGCCCAGTGTCAGAATGTACATTACATGAGTGTGCTCCCAGTCGTCTGAAGAGATAAGGTCTGAGTCATCAATTTTGCTTAGCGGTAGCGTGCTGGCTGTCACGGCGCCGTAGATATGTTCATCTCGCCTGTGATCTGGACTAGACTGGAATGGCGCTTGCAGCTTAAGTAAAGTTTGCGATTCTACTGCCAGACGAGCGAAAAGAGGACCGCCTGTCTCCATCCATAGTCCCTGAGCTGCGCCATCGTAGAACGTTTGATTGTAGCGAATGGGAAACCAGTCTTCATGTAGTGCGCGCACTTGCGGAATGTCTGATGAGGCCAAATTGCGAAAGTAAATCACACGTTCGGGCGATACATACGCGGTTTGCTTCTTAGTATCAGCCGAGTCTTCCATGTCTCGGTCAAATTTTAATGCCACTACACGCGGAATCACATCTTGCAAGGTGTCAATACACGCCATTTCTCCTCAATAAACACGGCGGTTATGTCGGGTATTTTCTGGGATCGTTAAAACAAATACTTCAAGATCGAGCATCAAAATTAAATTGAAGAAGCTAGTCAGAAACATATTAAAGTTAGCTGTCAGATCTGATTTTAACTCGACCGTTCGAAGAAGGCGGCAATGGTTTTCAGCAATTATGTGACGTGTGAAACTGCGTAGGGCTTGAGTCGACTTTGCTCTTCACCTTTCTCTCGGGTTGCAATACAAGTTTCAAAATTTTTTTCACGCCAGTTGTAATGCCTTGTTGTTTCATCTCTGCAACTGTCATCCAGCGCAACTTAGGAGACTTGGCAGCTTCTAGCAGCTCGGGCTGAGACTCAAAGTGCACATGCTCAACTCCCATGTGATGCTTAATATGCGAAAAAACGTGCGTGAGCTTGCCAAGATCGCTCCGTTTGATGATCGAGTTAGCAGATGTGGTTAGAGCGATTTTGCCAAACGTTTCATTGAGCCGAGCGTCCATAAACGCTTTCCGCTTGCTAAATGACGGAATTTTGTCCCCATCGCCCACCTGTAGTCACCAAAAGTTACATCGCGCATTTTTGTTCACCACACATATAATTGCAACGCACTTTATTGTGAAGAAATTCCCATTGCCCTCCCAAAAGGCCACCTTCTGGGCGCTTAGACATCAGATATCTCCAACTGGATGGAGCTGAGCTGACTTCAGCACTCGTCGTAACCTTGCGCTTTCTACCTGTAAGTGTTTCATCACGTGGCAAATCAAGTGGCGCAGACACTACAGCAACGGCAATGACTTCATTTCTTGACTCGTTCTTCTTTGCTTTTAGTGGATATTTAGTTACCTGTAGATATACACAACAGTCAGGTTTCTTTAAGTATACGAGTTGTCATATTGCACCTCAGCGTGAGTCTTATCCCACTCTGTAACACGCGTGTAGTCGCAGATAGCGCAGATATCTGATGACGTAGCAATCGAGTCGTTCGGAAAATCTTGTACTTTTCGTTTGTCCGAATTTGTCTCTGCGTAAGCCAAGCAGATTGACTTGACAGGGCAACTCGAACATTGCGGATTCTGGAGCATATATAACTCTTTAAATAAAGAAAATGTTTGCAAATACAGATCAAAACTTACCTGAATTGTGCACATTGTGGCTCCAAGTTCCATCAAGGCCTGATTCAGAGAACCGGGGCTATCGCACTCACTTACAAGTTGTTTTGCTGCCTTCCACGAAAAGTCAATTAAATGTCTATTCTTTGGATCAGCTCCTACAGCTCGCATTCGAGCCAAGATGCGAATTACATTGCCGTCGACTAAAGGCTCGCGGTTTCCGAAGGCAATAGATGCAATCGCTCCTACCGACAAAACCCACAGAATTAAGCTAGCCACAAACGACTATAGTTGAAGCTTGTGGCTGTGAACCTGCAGTATATGGTCCAATGCCTGGAATTTCCCGCAATTTTTCAACTGTGGACGGCAGTTCGCCACCATACTTCTCCACCACAAACTTAGCTCCCGCGTGCAGCATTCTTGCACGACGATAATATCCAAGTCCGGCCCACAATGCATTCACGTCCTACCATATTATTTGATTTCTATTTATCAAGATATATTCCAGCAATAAACGGCATGATTGCCACGTACCTCCTCGCTTGCAAAGGCCAGAGCCGCAATTGTCGGAAATTTGTCAATCCAGCGCAAGAAATACTGCACCACAGTGTCCACTCGTGTCTGCTGAAGCATAACCTCTGAAACCCAGGTCTCGTATGGTGAGACCCTTTTCAGCTCTATCCTGCTATCAGTCACGTCTTCCTTCCCCATACTCACATGAGTTACTTCCTTCTTCAGAAATGCATCGATTTTTTTTTGCACGAGTGTAGCCTGCTCTTCCTTTTTCAAACTTGTGTGCGTCGCAGTTGTCAGGTATGGTGGCAGGTCTCCTCGCCACGGAAGTTTTCGGCGATGTGTGTCATACCATGTGAGCAGCTCAGTTCGAATGACCAGCAACTCTTGCGGCAGAAAATTGTGCTTAGAAGCGTCGTGTTGAGCCATCAAGAATGTTGCATTGCTAGTATCTGCATCATACGTTTTATAATTGATCAGGTCCTCAATTTCCGGTTGATTCGCTGCGGCACCAGACGGCGACATTTGCAACATTTTGAAAGTGTTAAGCGTAAATAGAGGGGACGCAATTACAAAAATGGTCTGACTTAAGGAAAACAACAGTAAATGCGGCGCGTGGCCGTCTTATCGCACGTTAAAGAAAGCACGGCGCCGCCTAGTCAAAGCAGCAGTGGCAGACAACGCGTTGCATGGCAAGGCGGAAAGATTGTGTCAAACAAGGAGGAGGCGATTCGAAAGTTTTATCAGCGAAAATTACGCGCAGGCGATCAACTTACGGCTCAGCAAATCGAAACGTTGCAGACGCGTGCGTCCTTCAACAAAGCCTTTTTTGCAGATTCTGCATTAATCAAAAGCTAATGCTCACTAATATGCATCTGTAATGCGTTGTAGTTAGCGTCAAGATAGAATCGGATGCAGCACACAAACAACAGAAGAAGGTGTATGCGACGCATCGACCACACGCCAAAGTTACTGCCAGTGGGTTTGGAACAGTGCTTAAGACAGGTCGCGTACTTGGACCCAAAATTGGCTTAATCAAGAAGAAAACGGGGAAATTGCCGTATACGAAGCTACAGGCTAGTAAGATGGTTGCTAATAATCTGCAAAAGCGAGCGGTGAGCCGATTTGTCTCGCTGGAAGATAAGCTGGATCTACCGCTGGATGCTTTAGTCAACGGCAAAAATAAACGTGGCAGTAATATGAAGCGAAAGTGATAAAGCACTGGTAGTCCAGACGTATTAGCATCTGAGGAAAGAGGATGAAGCCAAGACTAGAAGACCAATACCATTTTGAGGCCGCGCGTGTGAGAATTAAATACAAAATTTGTTGCATATCGTGTTTAGCCAATGATCTGTAGAGTCTGCTATCTTTCTTCTTCATGGTTGTTCCATCGAGGCAGGCGGGAATGAATGGACGTGATCGTCGGAGAACGAACCGCGATCTTCAAGGCTTGTGACAGGGTTGTTACCTCGATCACAGTTAATGTGTTTGTAAAAATTTTTTTCAAAGCGCGACGGGTTGCTTGATCGTTCTCTTTGGGAATCACGCATACTTCTAATCCAATTTTCTGCGCTGCCGAGAGTCGCGATTCGAGCATTTTAACGGGACGTACGTGACCTGACAGCGAGACTTCACCCAAAAATGCGGTTCGTTTTAAGACAGGACGCTTTAAGACCGAGCTTGCCAGCGCCACAGCCAGTGCAAGATCAGCCGCTGGTTCCTGGATGGTGTAGCCCTCCGCAATATTTACAAAGACACTTTGATTGCGACAAGATACTCTGGCGCGCTTTTCTAACACGGCGAGCAACAGCAACAGCTTGTCGAACGCCACACCAACACCACGTACTTTTGAAAATGACTGACCGCCACCCCACCCAGTATCCATGTCGTATCGCGTCGAGTTCGCTAGAGCTTGAATTTCAACGGGAATCGGGCGATTACCTTCCATAGCAATGGTAACACAACACCCGTCTAGAGTCTCACTCTCGGGTTCTCTGTTTTCATCTTCGTCACATTCACTTCCATCGTCTGCACTAAGTGACGAGACGAAAGCCGTGAGAGGATTCGGCAATGGTTGAAGGCCCGCACCAGTCATATTGAAGACTCCAACCTCACTAGTGTTACCAAAACGGTTTTTCTGGCAGCGAAGGAACCGACGAGCACTTTGTGGATCCCCCTCTAGATTTATGACGGTATCTACAATGTGCTCAAGAACTTTTGGGCCAGCGATATCACCACTCTTGGTCACATGGCCAATCAAAATGACAGGCACGCCACGTGACTTTGCCAGCCGAAGCAAGCGAAGAGTGCACTCTTTTACTTGATTGACAGTACCTGCAGGAGAAGGAATATCATCCGCGTACATGGTCTGAATCGAATCTACCACCACAGCGCCAAATCCCGTATACTCATTACTGCTTGCGTCGCGTCGACTTCCTTCTTCAAGCAATTGAAATACCGAGTCCAAATTGGTCTCACTAGCCACGAACAGACTTTTACTCAGGGATCCGAGTCGATCTGCACGCATTCGAACCTGTAGAGCACTTTCTTCACCCGAAACATACACGACTCCTCGCTCTTGCATTGCCGAATGATTTGCAAGCATATTTGCCATCTGTAGCGCAAGCTTTTAAAACGTAAAATAAACGGCAATATTTTCGTTAGCAGAATATTGCCTTAATGAAATGCTTTACATTGATCGCACTGTGCTTTTGCCGACACCAGGATTTCCTGCCATGAGCGTTAGTGAGCCGGCCACCACTCCACCTCCTAATACCCAATTCTGTTTTATGGTAGATTGTAAGTAGCTGTTGTTCATGTCAAAGTACGCTAATTGTGACTCAACCTTACCAATTCGCGCTCTGGCAGTTCGATTCGCTCTATAAAAGTGTCCATTTCGACCTCGTTCATGCGTTGAGCGTAGTTGGTATTGTCAAGCCTCTCCTCGCCCATTTCATACCACGCAGCCGCTATTTTCGGCATAACCTTTTTCTTGAAAGATGCAGCGTTCGACTGTCGAAACAGCGGTTCTGATGATTTAAGAGGCGCCACAGAGCCCCATTGCGAACAAGCCGAGCACTGGCCCTGCCATTTAATGAATGACTGGCCACAGTTCTGGCATCGAAATCCGTCAAGCGAGCTGAAAAATCTGCGCGAAAGCAACCTTAAAAGTTGGCGACGAGATTTAAGTTGAGGTATCACGGAGGAAATGCGAGTCAAGGCGTGTTGGACGAGTAAGCACATTAGATAACATAGAATTGTTTCAAAAAAGTTGATCAAAAAGCTACTTAGTCCTAAGATTTGCCTCATTATTTGATTGTTATGTAAATTTTCTAATGTGGCTCAAACTTTCAAGGCAAGTTGAGCGTCACAACAAGCGCTGACGTAGAAAAAGGTTGACTTCAATCCTTAATAGGAACGGATTAGCGATTGGCTTGATTTGTAGATGGCGCATTGAAGCGTTGGTGTAACTATCTGCCATTCTTACAAATTCTCATTTAAAAATTTTAAGCTCAATTGTTCTATGGTGGACTCGGTGCAATTGCGCAACGGGACCTAAAAAGCAGCTGGTGGCGCTAGGTCCGAAGCTGTATGTGGGAAGTTATAAGATACGACCGTTCGCGTGTGGGTGGAAAGCGTTTCAGTAGGGCTACAATTCAATTTTGATTGCAAGTTCCAACCCAGACTCACTTTGCAATGCGCTGGGTGACTTCGCTTCGCAAGAGATTAAACTGTTATTCAAGGACAAATGGATACGAACGATCTTAACGATTTATCCACTTGAGGTAGAAGCGTAGTAGCGCTATGTGCACAGTTAAAACAATTCGACCCAACGACGACGGCTCGATCTACAATTTACAGATCGAACACATGCGAGTACCGATCAACTGGTTTTACTCTGTATTAAAGCGGGGGTCATATATCTTTATATCAGCATGTCCGACATCTACTTGAGCCAGATAAAGAACCTATGAGAGAACATTTTCAGTACATTGGAAGGCATTGTAGTTATCAAAGTGGACGACTAGCGATGGAGAAGGTCTAAGCACACCATCCGTCATAAATGATCCTTTGTTAAGATGAATATTTTGGTCCCGTGAGATATCACATTGGTGACTTAAGAAGAAAATGCGGAAACCGCTGGCATAGAGCTGCTGAAATAGGTGTTGGTGAAAAAAATTTGGTATCCCTCCATATGACCGCTTTCTTTAGGCGTCCAGCCACACATGAATAGAGACACAAGACATCTCTACGGACAAAAAAGGAACAATGATGATGGATGATACATCGGGTCATATAATATATCCATACGCCAGCATCGTTGCGCACGATAGAAAACTTGTTCAAAAAGCATATAGGTTGCCTCAGTGCGGCAGAGTCACAGCAACGGTCTTAGTGCTCCCTGCCAGGATCGAACTGGCTATCTTCAGATTATGAGACTGACGCTCTACCAACTGAGCCAAAGGAGCACTTCTCAATTTGCCAGCTACTACGCAAATCAAATCTCCAGAAGTACTCCCCAACCCCCAGCCATCCGCTCCAGTTGTTTTGACTCCCCTTTTCTGAGGATGAAATATCCAGCTGCTTCCGCTTCTGCCTCCCCATCCCCCGCCGACCAGCCCCCT